CACATTGCCTCCCATTTCCTTATCAGGTATCTGACGGACACAACACTCACCACTCCAACATAAACACATACTAGACTTTAAACAGTGATATTGGGCCAAGCTGTATAACATCTCAGATTCTGACTAAAGAGAACTGAAGGAGCAACAAGTGTTTAAAAGATCATTGTCTGAGGATATAATCCATTATTTGTTTTAATCAGATTGACAGTGAACAGTAAAAAGCAGTATTAAGAAACTAGAAACAGAAGTTATTTTTCATATGTATTGCAAATATGAAAAATAAATTAGTGGGGAAAAGCACTACAACTGTAGTCTGGAAACATTAATATAATTATAATCATTGTAAAAAATAAAGCTGACTACTGATTTCACCTACCGTGGATTATTTTTAGAACATAACTCTCGCGATAAACGAGGGGGCGCTGTATATCAAAGTAGCGGGTAAGGCCTAGCAGACTCAATCCGGTCCAGTCGCCTGTGCCGAGACACCGATCAGCCAGCGCTGACTCAGTTATCATGTTGAGTAGCCCTTCTCATTGTTGTCATGAACTGGATATCGTCTTTGTCCTGCCTTCCTCAAGAATCAAGTAAAAATAAAAAAATAAAAGTCGCATTAATATTTTACTTAAATCTGTTAAATAATCAGAACTATGACTCAGAATTCTTGAATGAAGTTTCCCTCGTTCTGCTCGATGTGTTCAGATGACATATATTCACTATATCAGCTTTAGGGCGTCAGCATGTCAGTTTGTTTGTAGTGTATCATGGCGCCTCCCAGGGGTTAACAGAAGATGAATTAATACATCCGCTTCTCATCTGGATGCATTTGGCCTCATCAATAAATTTCCCCCAGGCATAGGAAAGGTTACCTAATGACATTTAAGCAGCACTGACATTAAGCAGTATATACATAACCATCACAGCACATGAAGAAAATCAAAGTCCCCTGTTACAGGAAAAAAAGAGAGAGAGAAATAATTGGGAATCATATCACTGACTCATTTCCTGTGTTACTGTGATGCTGATTCACCAGCCAGGCAAAGAAAACCAACACACATACATGAAGCTTTCCTGCGTTTCTTAAAAATACTTTCCGAAGGTGCCTTCGTATGTCTTCCAAACACACAACTGGCAGAGACTGCACGATGTAGGGTATGCATAGGGGCGCACACAAACATGTATACGAGGGTTTAACACAGTGCTTTGCCAATATTGTTTCAACCGGTTTGCTATTTATTAATTTTATTTAATTGAAACTGAAAGAGAGGGAAGACAGAGAATAGATGAGTAATGATAGAAGAAAAACAGGACAGAGACTGCATTCATACAGTCTCTGTCACTGTGTGTGTGTGTGTGTGTTGCCCGAGGAACAGTTGATGGATTTGCTGCTTGACTGCTCACACAGATTGGTGCCTGCTGTGATGGCAGCCTTGAACTGAAATTACGTGCACACTCTCACATACACAAAGGGAACTACACATAATTGCAAAAAAACTGTGTGCGCGCACGAGTGTATTTGTGTGTATTCTTAAGTTGGGACGAGCGGGCGTGTTGCCTCCAGGAGGCCATTTAAAGCTCTGTGGAAGGATGGATGAACACAAGGCCAGCCGAAGCACCAGAGAAGATGAGACAGGTTCAAAATGCTGTGTTTATGCATTTATTAGTAGCTAGGCTTTTTTTTTACCCACTGATAGGTGCGTAATTTTTTAGCAAATCAGTCATAAAGCAGTCGACTCCTCTGATTATTATCTTTTGTTCAAAAAAGTGTGTGAAATGTTTTTGAAGTGAAGAGAAAGAGAAAGATTAGTTTAAACATCCTGAAGGATCTCAGAGCCGCTTCCTGAGCTCAGTTTTCCAGTTACTCTGATGATAGGCTGAGATCATAGTTCCTCCAGGTCTTGTTAACTCCTCCCTGATGACAAAAATGAGAGGTGGACAAATAGTTTGGTCTTGAAAGTTGTGAAGATTTGTGTTTTGTTCCCATGTTTGGGCTAAACAGGGATAGCAGGAAGAAAGAACGTTCAACGACACCATCTATTAATCCACCAATAACGACGGAGCCTGAGAAAAGATTCTGTCTTACACAAAAACTACTTTACCTCACACTCATTTCTCCCCAGTTCCATCAGGATATATGAGTTTTTATTAAATGCCACATACAATCATTAGCTGACATCAGGTGTTTGAAACAGGTAGCTGTGAATTCCCTATGGAGACGCTGAGGACAATAAATTGTATGTAAAAGTAGCTATATTGGACATATATGTTCAATTAAATTAAAGTGTGTCAATAATCTGTATATGTATGTCTCTTTATGTGATTCTTATTTCCTTCTGTGGCTCTTAGTGTGATTTAATTTGACACCCTTGATTAAAGAATGAAACACATTGGTTAAAAACTGAATGACCATTGAATGAATGGGATCATCTCTAGTGGAAAGTTACTGAGACAGTGTTGTTTAGACTAGAATGAGACAACTTCTATAATAAAACTGTTAGGGGCACACCACCATTTTGAGATCCACGGCAGCGTGTCATGCAGGACGCATCTCCTTTTTAGAAGTAATAAAGTGTTAAATGGTCTACTGAGCAGTGTTTTGTCTTCCATCGGATGCCTCTGAGAAATCAAAAGAACTCGGTGAAGTGTTGATATTTACAATTGGGGGCTCGTCCGGGATTCCAATAGGAGGCTGAGGAAGATAGATTGGGCGATCTGGACACAAAAGAAGGTGTTGATATTTACACCTTCTTTTGTGTCTTTTTCTTCATTTTGAGTATAAAGCGATGAAATTAAATTGTCATACGTTGTACTTGGGTAGGGGTTGTGGTGACACGGAGATTTATTTATTCATTTTAAAAATGGAGGCAAGCCCAGAATTTGTAATAAAACACTGATAATGTAACGATATTGCAGATTATTTGAATGTTGCATACATACACACACAAAGGCAAATATAAACTGGAAAAAGGGATAAAATGTAAATCATTCAAATTTCCCGCCAAAACTGCTGGTAAGTTATCATAGCCATCATTTGGAGCAGATGTCCCCAAGCCCCACGGCACGGACCGTGGTCGTTTGGGCCACAAGACTTGAGGCTCGGGTGTGAACTTTATGGGTTTTATTGGTTTTTATCGTTAACTCGGTTTCCCTGGGTCTTTTCCCGTGTGTTATGAATAAATCTTTTTTTTGGTACCAGTACTGGTTTTATTTTGTCGTATTTATCCGCAAACCCTTAAAGGTCGGTGTGTGAAAATATTGTCGGACATAAACCGGTCTGTGGCGCAAAAAAGGTTGGGGACCGCTGCTTTAGCATCAGGGATTTTGGGATAAGACCCTCAAAGTCAAACTTTTCTCAAACCTGAGGTAAGAATACCACTGATTGATGAATTAAATGGCTATCCAGGCAATCGAAACGTGGAAAGTCAACTACCTCTGCTTTTATTTAAATGAGAACTGTTGTTGGGTGCTGATTAAGCTCACATCCCACGAGGCCAGAGAGCAGCGGTCCGGGTTATAGTCTAACCCAGCTGTCCCCAACCCCCGGGCATCGGACCGGTACCGGTCCGTGAGTCGTTTGGTACTGGGCCGTGAGAGTTGAGGCTCAGGTGTGAAATGTATGGTTTTCAGGGTTTTTATCGGTTTTCAGCGTTATTTTGTTATCGTTTTTATCGTTAACTCGGTTTTTCTGGGTCTTTTCATGTGTGTTATGAATAACTCTTCTATTTTTCAGTATCGGTACTAGTTTTATTTTGTTGTATTTTTCCGCGACACCTTAAAGTCCGGTCCGTGAAAATATACATAAACAGGTCCGTGGCGCAAAAAGGTTGGGGACCACTGGTCTAACCCACAGGCCTTTGCTACATGTCTTCCCCCTCTCTCTCCCCTCTTTGCTGTCTCTATCCAAAAAAAGTAAAATGCCAGTAAATAATATAAAAAAAAAAAAAATCCAACAGAACACCCTTGTTAGACTAATAAACAAACCATTTTCCTTTTCGAGGTAAAATGCATTTTTCTTCCTCTTTATTTTACATGAACATCGCACATATTCAAAATATAAATAATAGTTATCTAGAACCCCGCTCATCGCTTTAACGCAACAAACACATTGGCTCATCTCATTCGAACCAGACTGATAGAGAGCTACAGTCTTGACACTAAAGCCAGAGAAGCAGTACAAGCAAGAGTGAAAGTCACGACCCAGCAGGTACTTTAAACAGCCCTGACACTGATTGAGACTAAGTGGCAGGATGAGTCAGTAAACAGTGTAGGGCTTCATCCAGTAGCAGTGAACAAAGGCTGTTTGCACCCACACATGTCGTGCATAAATTAAAGTATATTTATATAAAAGGGCACTTCTGATATGTTTTTAATGTGCTTGTTCAAATTCATGTCCAGTTAAGGGCAATTTACTTCCTGAGTTTGAAAGTTGGATTTAAACAGACAAAAAGATTTGAGTTCAAGCCAGCAGAGAGGTGACTTTGGTGATAGAGTCCTCTTGGCTGTGCAACATTTGAAATCAATAAAAGACATAATTGACTTGAGCTGGCGAATGAGAGGTCATGCCAGAATTTTAAAGTCTTTTATAGTGGATGTCATGTTGTTTAGAGAGAAAGGAAGAGGACATGCAGATGTTTAAGCCATGATTCTTTAAAAAGATCATTTCCTGTCCTAAATTTATGGATGATTGAAGATTAAGTATCATCCGGATAAAGACCATCTAATGTTCTGAAAGTGTAAACCTTTGTTTCTGACAGGCAGTGCTGACAGTCATAACAAAAGCAAAAAGCAAAGCAGCGAGTGGACATCTGTGTCATCCCGCAAAGTGTGAAACTTTGTGCTGAAACTTTTTGGTGTAACCTCATTAGCGGTGACAGTGTCCGTCGCTGTGCTTTCTCAGCATCCAGTGAAACTGATTTTGTTTTGTTCCATTGTGACATGTTGATCCCCCACACACACACACACCCCATCTACCCCCCATTCTGTCTGTCTTTCTTTTTTAGTGGTGCATCAGGGAGCAGCAGTGAATCAGAAAGCAGCTCAGAGTCTGACACCGACGAGTCTGAGAGCAGCTCCAGTGACAGCGAGTATAATCAGGCCTCCCGCACAAACACTCCAGAGGTAGGATGACA